CCTCCTTGGGGTTAATGTCGTTAAAATTTGGCAACTTTGGGCATGCGAACGAACGCCTTTGAAACTGTTGGTGATAAATAAATGTTACTTGACTTGAATTTACTCTCTTTGTAGAGTACAATAGTTTAGCGTGCTGTTTTTCTTTGTAACACAAAAAGGCCTGTTGGAGACATATGCTAAACCGAACAGGAAGTCCGCCATTTTGACTTCCTTTTGCATTTGAGCGCCATTTTCGGGCCGTTTATCGAGGACACGTTTTAACAAACTGCAGTGAGAGATTTTATTGAACCTTCTTTCAACTCTGAATATTTCATCTAAACATGTTGGAGATGAAAATTATTGAAAATTTCTGCCACATGCTGTCGCCGTGGCGATACGCAATTTGCAAAGGAAAACGATGCTGTTTTGGAGGGGCTAAACCTAAACTTTGTACACACACGAGGCCTGTCAAAAACATTTATATTTTCGAGGGTTATTGTGCTTTGGGCCACGACCCCAACGTGCTAATACCCCAATGCGCAAGTACTGCGACTTTGCCAGGGTCGCGGCTTGTTTTTTTTGTTGTTTTTATGGTGGCGCGAGAATGGATCGATGGCATTTCCATTCATTTTAATTGGGAAAGCTGATTTGAGATGAGTTTTCGGTGACAAGTGTAGTCATGGGAGTCCGTTGTTACATATTACTGCAGTAAAAAAAAAAAGTTTGGTTTCAGGAGAAGGCAAATCCCAGAAGGGAAATCCAAATCTAAAATATGATTTCTGTGGCAGAAAAACAAACTTGGCAATTTTGTTTTAAGGCCTTATTGCCCAGCCCTTCAGGAAGTAGCTTGAATGTGGGTGCGAGGCGGGGCAGGAAGTGGAGCAAACAAACAACAACAACAAAAACTTACTGTCGGTGAGGCCGGTGGACATGCCGGATGGGGTGAGTGTGTTGCGCTGCTGCGGGTTGATGAGCTGGCTGACCGACGGAAGCTTGTTGACTTTGCTGTGAGGGGGCGAGCTGGAGCCGTAGGCCGGCTGAGGTGCCATCGACGTCCTGGGTGCAAAAAGGGAAGCGAATCGATCAGACGGCATCGCGGCTCACATTGGATCAGCATTCCAAATTTCGGCTCTTCTGTGTGGACTTTTAATATTTGAAATCAAAATGAAGATACCACCTGTAAATTGGATTTTATGGATCCGCAGACACCCTGGAAATCCGTGAGGAACTTGTAACAGTTTGGTTTGGTTCTGCTTTGAAATAAATGTAACTTAACAAAATATATATGCAAAATAATAGTTAATTAAATAAGCATGAAAGATGTATCAATTTTAAAACTTTTTTTTTTTAATACAATTTTGTTTTTTTGTTTTTGGTTGAATACAATTCTGATAACCAATAAAATTATTTTTTAAAAATCTATATGGAATAAAATAACTTTTTTTGGGGGGGGGTCCCACAGAGACAAAAATTGGCAACTTTTTAGGGGTGAGGGGATGTTTTAAAGTTGAGAGTATTCATCTTCTTTTTTTGGGTCATTTTCTTAGTTACCCAACCCCCTTGTTTTTTTTTATTTTGAAAAAACTTTTAAACAGAAATTGCAGTCTAAAAAAAAGGAAACAACCAACAACTAAAAAAAAAGAACACCATAATAACCCAAACAAACAAAAAAAAGCAACTTTATTCGCATTCGCCACAAGAAATAAAGAATCTGTTTCAAACAGAAGAAAAACATTTGCTTGTTTCCCCAAACTGTCCTGCAGTGACTTTACAAAACATGACCAGCATTTTGTCATAACAAATATTAATATGATGATAAGAATATTAAAACCCCTTACACCCAGCCACACCATAACATGAGTCCAGCTCTGGCAAAAAAAAAAAGAAAAAAAAAGCAACACACCCACACACACACACGCGAAACACATGCAAACTCATCAAAAGAGTCTACTGAAGACAGAAAAGTCTGGAAAAAGGAGTGAAAAGTGGCAGAGGAGGAATGAGGAAGGCTCAAGAGGAGGTGCAGCGCCACCTGGCGTCCCCGGCAGGATCCAGCAGCTGACTGCCGAGACGCGTTTTGATCACACTGCAACAAGGAACCACACACACACACAGACACGCACACGCACGCACGCACACACACACACGAAAAAGCACAATGTCAAGTTGTGGTCAAAAGCCAAAGTAAAGAAGACCCCAAAGACGAGGAAGTAAAGTAGCACTGCTGTATTTGGCCACAAGACGGCACCATACGAACACAAGACTCAAAGTTGGAGAAGCAAGAATGGAGACTGACGTTGTCATTTATAGTTTTTGTAGTTCTGTAGTTGGGTTCGGGAGGATTTGTATTATTCAGAGTACTATAATATTTCTTGTTTGAAAAAAAAAGTGTCTTGACGGCTTGTAACTCAGAAACCTTGCATGTGGTCGCAGTTGAAAATCACGGAATCACTGTATGTATTTTTTAATTTCATAATGTAAAAAAAAAAATAAAAAAATCTGATTTGCTCACTCTCCAAACTGCTGCTTGTAAAAATCGTGTTCCATACACGATAACGCCAGCGACAACTATAATAGCCCTTGAGGCTCAAAAATGCTGACGGGTGAATGCGCCCTTGAAGGCTGCGTGGCTCTACTCACTGTTTCTGCAGGAGGTTCTGCTGCTGCTGCCGGTACGACTCGATCGTATGCTGTGGCAAAAACTGCATCAGCTCCAGGGACTCTTTAATCTTCACCAGAATGTCGTAGATTTCGCGTCCTTTTATCTGCAAGGACAAAGGTGGTCAAGCGTTGGCGAGGTGAAAAAGAGAGGCACGCGGTCAGAACGGTGGAGAAGGAGGAGGAGGTTACTCACGGGCAAACAAAACACCTCCTCGTCCGTAGATCTTCTCTTCTTGATGGCCGACATTTGGATGCCGTGAGACACCTGGCGGAAGGCTGGAAAAGTCGAAGGAGGAGAAGGCGGGTAAGAGCGACAGGCGCTGATGTTTCGGTTTCTACTATGGCAGAGCGGGAAACAAGGGAGGCAAAAGTTGCATAGACCGTCACCACAAGCCTTTACGTTGGAGGATTCTTAACTTGAGAAATTGCAATTTTTACAAGTAGTGTAAATGGGCTGACTTATGCGACTTCACTGCACGTTGTGCCAGATGCCCTTTCCACATGGCTTGTAAATGCTTGAATTTTCTCAACTTCTTCCCATATTGGCATTCTTTATCAACAGCAAAATGAACCGGATGTAAATGGGCTGACTTATGCGACTTCACTGCACGTCGGGTCAGAAGCCCTTTCCACATGGCTTGTAAATGCTTGAGTTTTCTCAACTTCTTGCCAAATTGGCATTCTTTATCAACAGCAAAATGAACCGGCGTGAGGGAAACAAAGTCCACCTGCCAAATTTCCACCTTTGGAATTTGTAACAGTCACCAAGTTCTTTCCAATCGTCTGTAAGAGGAGGAATTTTCTAAACCACTGGTTCCCGTGGTGCCTGGAGGTAATATCAGTCTCACTATTCTGGCTCCTGAGGAGCCATGTATGATTTGTTTTGTGTTTCTATAGCTACAGGGTTACTTTATTTTGGAAAGTACATTTGTTATTGCGAAAGCCACATCGGATGTTGTTGCGCGAGACACTTTCTGTTTTACGTTATTACAGAGAAGCTCCGAAAGATGGACTGCTGCTTCATGTTCTTGTTCTAAGCCAAGCACATCCTGTACGTTTGTATTATGTACATTTATGCACTGTTCTTAATTTGTGGTGTGTGTTCACTGTGAATTTACATTTTGAAAGACGTTGCGATTGTTTGCAGTTAGCATTTACAATAGCGATTAGCGCATTAGCTTGCGAACGTTAGCAACACCTAGCGACTACGCTCGTCACGTATCAGACAAGCGGGACACGTTGTTTTGCCACGTTTTATTTTGTGTTTTTATGTGTGTGTTACAGTTTTACACCTTCTTGACTCGCCTCCGCGGTGAATAAATTGCAAGAAACATCGACAGGTGTGGTCATTGAAGGAGCTATCTGTCTGTCCAACCGCAGCGGGGACGTGGCAAGGGCAGAAAAACACACCGCCGGTAAAAAAAAACAAAAAAACAAAAAACGGATGATAGTTAACGTAATACCTGCTGGGTCGACTTGATAACCCCATTCTACACTTGCGGCGTGAATGCGTAAGCATAAGAAAGCCGTAGAGCCCTTCACCAAGCCCCACTCGCCAAAGCTCTACTTACGGCGCTTCGTACCCTCACTGCTCTTTGTGGCGTCCGTGATGTGCTGCTTGCGGATGCTGTCCTCGTCCGCCTTGCGGTCGCGGCCCGGACAGGCGCAGATGCGTGCCTCGAAACAGCGGCGGCCCAGAACCTGACCGCTACACACGCGCACACACACATCATGAGGAGGAGGAAGAGGTTGGCAGCTGTCGATATTTTACATCCAAAACTAAAACCTGACCAAGATGAAAAATCTAAAATCAAAGCAAAAATATCCACTGTTGTTGTAAAATATCTGCCAGGGTATTTCCTCTTTACAAGTCAGTTTTTTTCTGTTTTTGTGGGTGTTGTGTGAGAGCATTTCACTTCAAGCCCCCCCC